AATGCTTATTGGATTCTTGAATCTTAAGTTTTCACATGTTTGAAACATTCTGAAAAATAGTAGACCCATTAATTTTTTAATAATTTAAAAAATAATCCCAATAGCACACACAACTATTTTCATAAAAACTATTTGATAGTAAGTTGCCAGTTTGTTACTCCGTCTTTTTTTGTATATAGAACAGGGATATGCTCCTATACAATTGCAATAAACACTTTAAAATTAGGAAATTAACATTGATATATTACCGCCATCCAATGCTTAGACTTCATTTAAGTTTTGCCAGTTTTCCCAGTAAGTCTCTTATAGCAAAATAATCCAGTCTAGAATTATGTGTTACATTTAGTTGTCGTGGCTCTTTTAGTTGGAGCTGGTTTTTATTTTCCTTGACTTTCATGACTTTCACACGTTTGAAGATTACAGACCACTTATTTTTATTTTATAGAGAGTTCTTCAATTTGCTTTTGTCATCATGAGATTCAGTTCATGCATCTTTGGTAGGAATACCACAGAAATATTCTTCGTGGCATCCTATCAGGTGGCACATGATTTTTTGCATTTGCCATCACTAGTGATGTTTACTTTTATCACTTGATTAAGGTGGCGTCTGCCAGGCTTTTCTTCTGTAAAGTTACTCTTTATTTTTCCCCTTTGCAATTGGTAATTATCAGTATGAATTCATGACTTTCTGTTTTATTCAAGGAGTTACAATCTATTCCTAGCATTATTTATTTTGATGTTCAGATCGTCCATAATTTGGCCAGTGGCAGGTCCTTCAAGTTGGCTTTTGTGTCCTTTTGCTCTGTCCCCCTCACTCGTTGAGCACTTCCTTGCTTTCAACAATAATATGTTCCAGTATCACTGTGTATTTTTACTGCTCCTAGCCTGGAATCAACCAATTTCCCAAGAAATTCTGGTTCCTTTTAGTAGAGAATAGTATTTAAAAGATCCTAAGTGAGTTTGTTGCTATTGGAGTGTTGCTGCTCCTAGACCCTCCCCTCAGCCAACAGGAATAAGAAGTGTGTGTGTGTGTGTGTGTGTGTGTGTGTGTGCGTGTGTGTGTGTGTGTGTGTATTCACTCCTCACATCTACATTAATTTTACACTAACATTCCTGTTTCCACTCCAACGTCATGGGGATCTTTCTAGTTTTCTTACTTTCTATATTTCAGACAGTAAGAAACCTGGTTCCTGTTAGCCTATTAATGTATTAATTCTTTGATCAGATACTCTATATGTAAGCAATTACTCTGTAAAACTGCTCCTTGTCCTTATGTGGCTTCATCAGCCTTGTGGAGTTGTCCACGTTGTGAATACACTGTTCAGCCCCCTGTATCCCTTTACTATGTCTGGTTACAATTTTGGGCAGTAGCCCACCTCTCCCCACCAGGATATGCTGAATCTTCTCCAGCCTTCATGACTTCCTTAGCCTCTTTGGGCTCTGGCGGTCTACGCCAGGCTGTCCTTGTAAATGAATGTCCTCCTCACCTATCCCAGCCTCTGACTCCCCTAGCCAGTACTTCCTTACCCATCGTGAGCACCATCTTTATGCTGCTTGGACTCTAGTACTTCACATTGGGTCTCTTTTCTGTATGAATACCCTTCTCACCCTGTACAGACTCTGATCCCCATACCAGGACCACTTCTTTCACCATCCTCACCCCTCTTCGGCTCATGACATCCCTTGTTGAGCCACCTCATTGTATGAACTCTTTCCTTAACTTGCTCAGGCTCCAACACCTGGTATAAAATAGTCTGTGTGCATTATTCCCCTTTACTCCGCGTGGGCTCTGAAACTCACGCTGGTGGCACCATGTTTGGATGCCTTCCCTGGACTCTGACTACACATGCCCTCCTGTATCAGTACCCTCCTCATGCTACTTAACCTCTCTCTATCTGATGGTTTTTTGACTGAATTACCCAGCAGGGAAAGGGTTCTACCTTTCTGCAGCTTATATTAATAAACGTTAGGTGTTTTTATTCTATTAGCTATCCTCTTAATATCACTGATTAATCTTAATCTCTCTGATTTTTTTTCAATCAGCATTTTCTATTTCTTTACCACTTCTCGCTGCATTCGGTGTATTTTCTTGAGAATTATGTTTAAGTTCATTAATTCTCTCCACTTGAGTCTATTCTGATTTTTCTTCTTCAATGACATTTGTTTTATTTCAATAATTATATTTTATTTCTAGAAGTAGAATATTTTTCTTTAAAAATTCCACTTGTTTATTTTTTATAGACTGTCTTTTTTCTCAGGATTTTAAATTTCTGCTTTTGTCTCTTTAATAGCTTATAATAATTAAATATATGTGTTCTTTTGCAATAAGTTTTTAGGTTATTCTCTTATCATTAGTTACCAGGGTTTAATCCCTTTGCTTGCTCACAGTTTATTATTTTCTTGAGTGTTTTGTAATTTTTTTATTGTGAGCTTATTCGTCACTGGAGTCATTTGTTTCTACAGAAATTCTATGCAGTCTTGGTTATGAAAGTGTCTTTTTACAATGCTTAACAAAAACAACTTTATTAAATTATAATTGATAAATAATATATATAAAGTGTGCAGGTTGATAAGTTTTGACATACACATACACTGATGAGAAGCCATCACTACGGTTAAAATAATGAGTGTGTCTGTTATTCTCAATGTTTTTTTTATTCTACTTTATTATCTAACTCCTCTCTGTTCACAGGCAACCACTGACCTGCTTTCTGTTATAGATTAATTTGAATTTTCTGGAATTTTAGACATACGGAATCATACAGTGTATATTCTTTTTAGTTTTTTTCACTTGACATAATTATTTTCAGATTCATTCATGTTGTGCGAATCAACAGTTTATTCCTTTTTATTGCTGAATAGTATCCCCATGTGTGGCATACCACAATTTATTCATCACCTGTTGGTGGACATTTAAATTGGTTCCAGTTTTGGGCTATTATAAATAAAACTGCACGTGTAGAAATTTTTGCATAAATATATGCTCTCTTTTCTCTTGGGTAAGACCTAGGAATGGATTAATTTGGTTGTAAAGAAAGCATACATTTGACTTTTTAAGAAACTACCAAACTATTTTTCATTGTACTTTTCCAATGGCAATATATGAGTTCCAGTTATTCTACATCCTTTTTAATGCTTGGAATAATTTTTTTCTTTTCTTTCTTTTTCAATTTGAGATATTCTGATAGGTGCATAGTGTTTTTGAAAGGTCTTCCAGCGGTATCGTTGACCTGGGAACAAGTATTTACATGGATTTCTTCACATGGATATTCTGACATTATATATAATGATATCTTTTTTACTCCAAACCTGTTTTGTGGTTTGCATTCGGCATATTTTTCTTGGGAGATTTGGAAATAAGCTTTCTTATCTTCCTGAATAGTTTTGGATTCTCTCTGGTTTCATTTCATTGAGCAAGATAGGGTTTCCTGTCCTTTTGTGGAGATGTTAACATTCAAACTACTACTAGCCAACAGAGCTATATACTGACACAACTCCAGTTTCAGATGCTTCTTAGATTTTTACTGCTTGTAATTTCCAAGGCTTATTTGCAAGCATGGCCACAAAGCAACAATTAAAATTATATGTATGTATACATACACACACATACGCACATACATACATACATACATGTGTGTGTGTGTGTGTATAATGCATTATTTCTTTATATTTGAAGCAGAAGAGGTCCAAGTTCAATTTACAGTGTTATTGAAACCAGAACTCTTTTGATTAGCTTAGTACTATGATTATTAGTATGTGTGGTCCTGATTCCAAATTGCAAAGCTGAAAGTATTTCCTATAGAAATCTTGTTTTCAAAGTGCTTAGAGACTGCAATAAGAACAGTACAGCTATATTATAGATTATATTACAACTGTAATGTAATTACAACTAGTTACTGAATTCCAAACAACTGAACTATAAGTAAAATTTTGAAAGTAACCAGTTTGCAGGTTAAGCACTGCCTGTGTTAAATTTGTCTTCATGGTGTCAGTGCTCTTGTTTATATGTATGTGTGCATGTGTTTGTGTGTAATCGAACATATAAATAATATGTACCATAAGTCTTAAAAATTTATACTGGTACTTATCCTTTTTATGCTTTAGTACCAGAAGCCTTGCAGGACAGGTTTTCATTTTCTTAACTTTCTTAAGCCAAATGTGAGAAATAAACATGGTATCTCCTCTCTCTTATCTCTGACATTTTATTGCAATTAAATATATACTAAGTCACAAGACAAAACAAACTAATTTATTCTAAGAACTTAAAGCATTATTTATTATTAAATTATTTGAATTTCGGAGAAGAATGGTTATTTGGGGAAACATTTAAGTGTTTCAAATTTAACTTTAATAATCACGTATTCATTTTAACTTGTAATTAACGCAGGAAGGTAGTGAGTTCATGAAAATTATTACTTAAGAAGATACTAAATACAAAAATGGGTCAAATAATTATTATAAAAAGTAATATAAATGGGACTTTAATGTTACAGAAATCACAACATCAATCGTTGAAGACCAGGAAACACTGATTTTATGGAAGAGATTTACTTTTTAATATCAAGGTTCAGATATTTGTTACTTAGGTGAAGTGACATTTCTGGGGAGAAAGAGTCTGCAATGCTGTCTTTAAATTATAATGTGTATACAGCTTTGTTCTTGAGAAACCTAGCTGGGCTTTGGAGAGATCAGGATCACACATAGTCAGAGTTGGGTGTGAAGTGGGCAGACTGTTTCTATACTTCTCTTCATCAGCATCAGCAATCAGAAATTTAAATAAAAGTCATTCCTCTTTGACAGATTAACAATGGGCATAGTAATTTCAATGTCCAATGACTACCTTCTCCTCTAATTGATGGAAAGCACTTTTTCCCATAGCTCTGGGAGAACATATCATTCCTATTTGTATCATTATAAATCTACTTTGTGATATGATCATCAGCTCCCCCAAATCTAAGGATGATGACCGTGTACACTCCTTCCCTTCTCTGTGTTTCCAGCATTTTCTCAGCATGCGGTCCTCCCTGCAGGCAGTGGTGCTCTGGGGAAAGAAGGCCCCTTCCCACAGCATCACTGCCATCATGATCACTGATGACCAGCAAACAATTGTGACTGGAAGTCAAGAGGGTCAGCTCTGTCTCTGGAATCTGTCACCTGAACTAAAGGTTAGTGAAAATTATTCATATTGAAACAGACAACACCTACAAAATAAGCATAGCTTGCTTCTTAACCATCTGCAATGACAGTCAGTGGGAGGTATGCATGATTGTTAGGGAGATACTTACTGAAGTCATAAATTGGTTTTACTTATGGATTTGGAGAAAATGAAGTATTATATGGTAGATCAAGATATTGTTGGAAAATTATATTATGAATATTGCTGATCTTAGCTATCAGCTAGCTGTTATCACCCTTTAAGCTATGTTGAGTTTTACTATTTCATATCCTGAATTATATGTTTAAGTAACTGAACTGCGGACTTGTAAGTATAATTCTAAAAATTATGGCTCATTAATCTAAACAAAGGGCACCCTTGAAAACCACTATTAACTAAATGAGTAATATCTTAATTATCTAGATGTTTCTGTCAGTTTGGCTTTTTGCTATTCTTTTAGTCTCTGCTTGCCTATGATTTTTACAGATCACATCAAAAGCTCTAAATCCAATTTACCATTGTCAGCCCTCTTATTTCAGAACCTGACCTCACCTAGGATTTGGCCCATTGATTAGCAATTAATTGTCCCTGTCCCAAGTCATAAACATTTAACATATTGGAATAGATATTTGCTTAGCTCTAGCAGCCTCAAGACCCAATTTGAACATTTAAACTAATGATGTACTTAAAGTATACTGCCCTCATTAAGAAGCCTTTTAAAGATCAAAGACTATTTTTAGCCTTTAAAGTTTGTCACTTTAAAACCTAAATTAACAATTAATTGTAATTCTATTTTATAGTGTAATTAGTTAACATCTCCCATCACTGAACAGTGCCACTACAGGACTGCCAAGAACTGCATAGCAGGGCAGCTCAGCTCACTGTTTATGAACATTCCTGAAAGAAAGAACTGCTATTATTGCAACAATTGAGCTTTCAAAATGGTGGCTCTCACATTCATTATCTCTTATAGTTTAAACTCACACCCCTAAATGGCTTAAAATATCTTGTTGCTCTTTTTAATGTTGAAGTTTAGTGTTTTCTGGCTGTAATAATAGTTGCCTCGTAATATGTAGGCTTGTTATAAGCTTAAGAAATTTTGAATCTTAGCCTCTGTATCTCTTTACATATATCCTGGTATTTATCTAACATGCTTTTATTGAGTGGATTTTATAAAGCAGGCAGCATGCTTAGTACCTGAGTTCAAACATAAATGAAAAGACCTGGTGCTGGATGCCCTGGAGGTTGTGGTAAAGGACATAGGCTAATGCAGTGCAGTTGTGTTATGATACAAGGTACTCTAAGTAGGGAATGGACTGTCTGTGCTGCATCTTCAGTGGGAGGAGTGATGCCCTGCTTTTCTTAAGAGCAAGTCTTTTGCTTGGGATTAGAGCAATGGTTTTTAACAAAGAGTGATTTTGCCCTCTAAGAAGCATTTGGTAATGTCTATAGGCATTTTTGGTTGTTACAATTGGTTGGAAGGGCAGTGCTGCTGGCATCCCTGGTAGAGGTCAGGGATGCTGTAGACATCCTGCAGCCCCTCACAACAAAGAATTATCCCAGCTAAAATGCCAATAGTGCTGATATTGAGAAATCCACGTTTAGAGATATGGTAGAAGAGTGAGAATCTGATCAGCAGGGGTGGAAGAAACAAGGGGAATCATTAGGGAATTTTAAGAAGAGGACTGGATCAGCTTTGTGTTTTGGAAATTTACTGAGAGGACATTGTGAAAAGTTAATAACACGAATAAGGTATTGATTCGTATGAATGTGAGATTTTCCACATGAGACTTCTCCTTAACATTTTCTGTGGCTAACCATAGGGCCAGAAAGAATGAACATCTTTTATTTTTCTCGTGATTCTCACCCCTACAGACAATGGGTCAACTATTAGCATGGAAAACTCTAGCCTTTTTAAAAATCAAGGGCATTTTTGAGTTTCCAGCATATCTTCTTGCCATCTGTAAGACAGTCAAGTCAGTGGTTCATCATTGATATTTTAATCCTTAGTAGTTTATTTTGATTTTTATTTGGAAAAAAAAAGGTATATATAAAGGAATAATTTGGGCAGGGGAAGAAGAAAGGAGGCCTTCAGAACATGGGAGATTGTAAGAGAGGACATAACTATGTGGGTGACTGAGTAGCTATAGGACAACTTAATGCCAAAGGGCATATTAGTGGGGAGAATAGCAGGAAGGGTAGAGAGAAGTGGCAGGGTGTACGGTATAAAGTGACCTGAGATCCATCTATTTCCTCTTCATGTTACATTTTGAAAGCTTCTTTACCTCTCCAAAAGAGTCTAGATAAGAGAATGCCTCAGGTTCGATGGTCTTAAATACTCAGTTCCCACTCTATAAAGTGGAAAAAGCAACCTAAGGACACTTACTTATGCAGTCATTAGACAAGTTACACAGATAATTTTTGTTGTTGTTGTTCTAGGCACAGATCTTACCTTAAAGTTTCTCAGAATGTAATGTAGGAGATAGACTTGTTAATAGGCAGGTGTAAAGCAGTAGTATATTTTCTGTCTCTATGAATATGACTCATCTACGTATATCATATAAGTGAAATCATACAGTGTATATTATCCTTTTGTGACTGGCTTATTTCACTTAACATAATGTCCTTAAGATTCATTCATGTTGTAGCATGTGTCAGAATGTCTTTCCCCTTTAAGGCTGAAAAATTTTCTATTATATGTGTTTACTACATTTTGTTTATTCATGTGTCAATGGACACTTGGGTTGCTTCTACCTTTTGTCTTATGTGAATGATGCTGCTATGAATCTGGGTGTATAGATAATATGTTTGAGTTCCTGCCTTTACTTCTTTGGGATGTATACCCAGAAGTTGGATTTCCGGGTCATTGTGTAGTTCTATTTTAAAGTTTTGGAGGAACTGCCAAACCGATTTACATAGCAGCTTTACCACTTTACATCCTCCACCAGCAGTGTGCAAGAGTTCCAGTTTCTCAACATCCTCACCAACACTTGTTATTTTCTGGGGTTTTTTTTTGGTTTTTGTTTGTTTGTTTGTTTTATAATAGCCATCCTAATCAGTATTCAGTGGTTTTGAAGGGAAAGCCTTTCTGAGGGTGATGTTTGAGCCGAGTTCTAAAGGATGCACAGGATTTGAACAGGAAAAGAAGGTGAGAGGAAGTGGCAGACAAAGAATAAGTATATGTGAAAAGTATGAATATTTTGTCTTCAGGGAACTGGTAAAAGTAGTTGAATAGGCCTGGAACATATTGAGAAAGTTAGAGGTGGTAGGCACACCTGGAAGGGATGGAGCAGACTCAATATGGAATCTGACATGCTGAGGGGTTTAGATTTTTTTTTTTTTTTAACTGGCAAGAGCTAACACTATATGCTAATTAAAAATGGTGTTATTAAGGGATTTGAAGATATTTTATGCAAACAGATGACATAATACTATTTTATTGTATTTGTTATTTAGGATATCATGGAGTTTTGAAGGGAGGGAGAGATGAGATAAGGAACAATACTTTAGTTAAGTAAGATTTGGAGCATGAATTAAATCACTGGCAATGGGAATGAAGAGGAGGTGAAACCCGGAAAGGTGTCAAGGAGAAAGAAGAGACAGAACTATGCAACAGTTGGATGTGGGGTTAAGGAACAGAAATAGTCAAAGGTACCTTTTAGATGTGGGATTTGGGTGATGGGTGGGACTGGTGAGATAATGGTATCATATATTTGTATAAAGAATAGAGGGAATTAGATAATAAGATAGAGAGGAAAAGAAAGTGACTTAAGCTCTGGACATCTTGGAATATCCAAATATTCATCAGAGGACTGGGTACACATCTCATGGATAATGTGATGGCAAGGTGCAGAGGAACTGGAGAATAAGTCTCCCTGTCCTGGGCTTCTCGTATATGCCTAGATTATGCATGCTGTTTCCAGGCTCTGAGTCTGATTCCCAAAGCCCTCTTGTTTCCCCGGGACATTGTGAGGTCTAGTAATGAGGAGCTTCTGCAAGTCCCGTGTTAGGGACTTCCTCACTTGGGTTTGCTGGATTTATCACACCTTTAAGCATTAAAAAAAAGGATGAATTAAACATTCTCTTAGATATATTCTCTTAGTATTGGGATGTTCTATTTTCTTCCAGTTTAATACTCAGAAGGAAACATCACAATGACAAAAGGAAGAATATCAATGTTGTGTAGAAAAAAAGTGAAGATATCTGGGTTAATTTCTAGCTCTGATATTTACCAACTCTGTGATATTGCACAAATGACTTATATTTTTTGAACCTCAATCTATTCATCCCTGTGAAATGGAGATTAAACACTGTTGAAAGTTGTACCAGTCCTAGAAATAGGGTAGATACTCATCAACTTGCATGTTCTTTTTCTTTTCTCATTGTGCTGTTGGAAGTACCTGGGGTAGGGAATTGGGGGTGGGGGTACCAGTGCTTCCTAGAAGTAGAATAAATAAATAGAAGTAAAGCTCGCCTGGATTTCATCATGGCAATGACTATGTATGATTGTAGAATATTTTCGTTATTTTTCACAGCACTTCTAAAATATGATAAAATGAGGAGAGCCTGTAGTGATTGTCACAGCTTACTCGACTACATGTGGGGATCTAGTAGCAGAAGGAAGACTTCCTATGAAAGACACTGCATTCAGATATTTTGTCTGTAATCGATTTTCTCTGGAGGAGGAAATGTCCTCGATGTACCCCAATTCTTTGCTTAATGGCCCATAATATATTGGAAATGGGTTATATTTATAGGGATATACATTTCAAAGTGTGATGATGGGGAACATTATATTGTTCTGAGATGGATCCTTCTGGATTTCCCAGGAAAAAGGGATAGAGTCAGAACTTGGATTGTAAGTGATTCTAACCGACCACAAAAACCTTCTTTGAAGCACTAGAAATTTAGTCTGATAACAGGCTTTTTAAAGAACTATTTCTGGTTATGATAGAAATAAAATGAAGGCGGAAAACAATTATGCTATGAAATAATGTGTTCTCATTGATATGATTGGGTTATCATCTATATACATCTATGTTTGCATGATTCAGAAAAAAATGAGTATTAATTCATTTGGAAATCAGATTTTTATTACTCATGAGACACATTTTATTAACCACAAGTTTTCTAGTTATTAAAATTAAAATTTTAGTCCCTTAATGACAACCACTTCTCCATTTTAGGGGATCTCGAATATTTTCTATTTCGTAGTTTGATTTTTATAATCTTGTTTTACAAAATAATGAGAAATAAACTTATTTCACACTAATGGAATGATTAGCCCTCAGTGCCATATTTTTAAATTCACAGATTGGAGAAAAACACTGGTATTTAAAATAATAGCTTAGTTGCAATTTTATTTTTAACATAGAAAAGTTAATTTAACTATTTCAGAGGCAAGAAGCCAAACAAGGTATTGTAATGGTTTTTTTAAAAAAAGGAGGTAATATTGTCTTTGTGTTTTGTAAACTCATTTCTGAATTCTCAAATTTGCATACCAATATTTGACTATCATTTGAGGCACATTTTATACATTATAATAAACATCAACATTGACTTATTTGTATTCAAAACCTAGATGTTGTAGAACAGGTCTGGCAATCTTTTAGGTTTCATGATGGATACCAAACCAAAAACAAATAAAATTTGTACAAGACGGTTCCTTTATTTAGAAGTTTATTCTGTGGAGTTTGATATGCCATGTATCAGTTTTCTTGAAACATGTACAGCGAAAACATAACAGATTTCCATATCAGAATTATAAATATATGCGTAATGTCATATTTATATTTTCAAACAAAAAAGTTTAAAAGCTCACCCTCATCATTTTCAGATTTCGGCAAAAGAACTTCTGTTTGGTCATTCGGCTTCAGTAAGATGTTTGGCAAGAGCAAGAGACTTCTCTAAACAGCCTTATATCATTAGTGCTGCTGAAAATGGGTAGGTACAACGTGTGCAATTTTGTACCTGTCTCCATTTCCTCTCCATTTTTAAAACCTGGTGGGGTACAGAATTCTATGGCTGAAGGAAACCTTGGTGATTAACATGTTCCTTTTGCATATAGGAAAATATAGATCTAGATTAGTTGAGTTATTTATATAATGGTCTCAAAGAATGTTATAGCTTCTGTGACTCCCAATTTTTAAACATCCCAATGTGTGTATCAGGCTTTGTGGCAGCCTCATTTTGTAAAGGATACTGGCAAATGCCACCTATTATAGAAGTGAAATGGGAAAGTCTGGGTGTTCGTCTTTTTTCATGTAGTAACTCACTTTGAACTCTTAAGCAAACTCATCCAAGCCTTCGCAGTTTTGTAAAACAGTTCAATAGTTACAATCTTGACATTGAACACTTGTCTGAAATCATTATAAAACAAACAGAGGAGAGGATTCAATGTAGTGGAATGGTGGGAGAGAGAAGGGAAAGGAACATATACAGTGATTTGGGTATCATTTCATGGAAACGATGTTTGTTCAGATGAAATAGGACTTAGCTGTAGGAAAAAGATCCACTGATGGGAGAGCTACTAAGAATTAGACTCCTGATGAATTATTTGCCAAAGTACACTCAAGAATGCAGAATTGATTTAGCATGCATTTGTGAACGAAGGATTGGGTTACTGGTTGAAACAAGTGAACCCCTCCTTTTTTGTTTTCAGTCCAAGGAGAAATTATATGGCTCTGAATTCTGAGTACCAAAAGAATGAGGAATCAAGTGTCCAACTTGTAGAAACTAAATAGTTTATGACAAAATGACTAGTTGGAACTGATATCAAAGAAATATCTATTCTTATAGTTTATACCAAAGCCACAATTGTTGTACTTAAAGAGATTGAATTTTGGATAGGCTAAAGTGAAATGTCCTAGTACATTCATTTTTTTTAACGATTGCCAATAGCTTTTGTACAATAGGGCTGCCACAAAGCTTGCTACACATGCTGAAATATTTATTTCCACTTGAGAATTTGGGGGATGATGAATTTTTGAAGAATTATAAAAATAGCTAAGTGAGAAATAGATCTGAAAAATGAGTAACAGCTTGAGGTTTTTGCCCATCGTGGTCTAGCTTCAAAAAAGAATCTAGGGTTAATGGACACATTCTGGATAATAGATTAATTCATCTGTATGAGCCCTGTAAATATAATTGTTAAATAGCCAAGTAGTCTGGTTTGGTCTTCCTTTTCCAATATGATTTGAATTTTCTAGAACTCTTGTTTCTTTGTAAATAAAAGGAAGTAAACACTTGGAGAACTGATAACGAAAGGATAGAATGTTAAAGAAAAAGATAAGATCTTGGAAGGGGGTCCGTGAGAAAAAGCATTATTTACAAAAGAATGTTGATTAAACTGAGATCTGAGTTCTCAACAGTAAAATGAAACTACCCGGAAGTAAAACATCTTCAAAATGTTGAGAAAAGGAATCTGTCAATTTAGAATTATATCTCTAGCAAAAATATCTTTAAAACATGAAAGCAAAATAATAACATTTAAGACAAATACTAATAAAACTTAATCATTGCCAGCAGACCCTTTACAAATAATGGAATTCTAAATTATATTCTTCAGTAAGAACCATGATTTCAGAAGGAACATCTAAGATTGAAGGACTGTTGAACAAAACCCAGCAAATATTTCAAAAATTTAAATAAACACAGACTATAAGACACTATAATGTTTATATACACTCCCCATCCCCATTTCCATCCCCCTCCTACACAATCCTAATGGACAGTTGCATATAATAACATAATGATCAGATTCCATGTGTTCTGGTGTTTTAGAAGTGAATAAAGATGTCGGTTAACTTTAGACTTTACGCTAGATATGCAGGGTGACATTTCCAGGGTAGCTGCTAAAAGAACAGACAAAAGAAACAAAAATAAAAGTAATAGAATATAAATCTTTCAACTTAAAAAAGAAAAGAAAAAAAAGTTCTTAATCCAAAGAAGACATAAATGTGTCAAGTAGAAAGCCCAAATGAGGTAGTTGAAATAACTCTGAATAAAACAGCAGTCTAAATTATGTAGAGACTAAGACCTCTAGTTAAATTACAAAGATTGTCAGACAAATAAAAAATAAAAACAGGATAAGGACATAGGAAAGTTAAAAGTAAGTAGATGGAAAAACATTTATGAGATCAATACTAACCAAAATAAGGTTAATATAGCTATATTAATATTTTATATCAACCCATATTTGTGGTTAATAAAACTTTAAGGCAAAAAATCTTGGCATTGTTAATGAGAATTTTTTACTTAATAAAACTTTCAGTCACCAGCAATAGATAAGACTAGAGAGATAAGCAGGCATCCAGTCTTGGAGGTTTGTTGCACAGTGCTCCTCAAACCTGAGTTTGTATCAGATTACCTGCAGGGCTTGTTTAAATGCAGATTTCTGATTCCTACTCCTGGAAGTATGGGTTCAGTAGGTCTGGGCTGAGGTTCATGAATTTGCATTTCTAATACATTCCTGGACAATGCTAATGCTACTGGTTCAGAGAACATGTTTGGCGTAGCAGGTACCCCACATTTAGGGCAGTGAGGTCAAGAATGACGGAAAACTCATTGGAGATGATTAGCATTCATTGAGAAGAGGGAACAAAGGAGGAAAGATGTTATGTTTTATTTCGAACACGAGAAGCGTGAAGTCCCACAAGTCATCCGGATGGAGGCATCTAATAGGTAGTTGCGTGTGGAAATCTGGAGCTCAGTGGGCTTCCAAATCTGGAACAGGTGTGAGCTTCCAACATCATATAGGTGGTAACTGACATCATGGGTGTAAATAACTCACCCAGAGAGAGTGGGAAATGTGAGAACATAAGAAAGCCTAAGACAAAAATCTAAGAAAAAAATATTTAAGGAACAAGCAAAATAAGAGAAACCCGAAAATGCTAAAGAAAATCCAGAAACATAGTACAAGACACGAGAAAACAGAATTTGAAGAATATCATGGATTTCCAATTAGATATGGCAAATGAAGCATTCATGTTTATCTCCTCTCCCTGTACATACTTCATTAAAATTTGAGCATAGCATTAAAAGTGTTATAAGTACAAAAATATGAAAGTAAAAATGGGGCTAAGAGAAATAGTGTATTTTTTGAAAGATGCAAAGTGGATAGAAGGTTGGTGACTGATCTCTTTGTTCATCAAATGAATTTTTATTGAGGTGAGGAAGTGAGGATGTAGAGTTGAATAAAAAAAAAGTCCTTTTCAAGGAACTTTTAGTAGGAATTTAACAGTTTCTTAATTTTATGTGTTGTAGATATTTTCTTCTGGTTTTTTTTCATTGAAATAAAAAAGAATTTTTTAAATTTAAAAATTATCAAATTCATTTTTTAAATAAATAAAGATGATTTAGTTTATGTACAAATGGAACAGTACTTATACAAGATATGAATAATATACATTTAAGTTAATTTTTATTTCTTTTTATTAAGTGTATAACTTGTACAGTTCCAGCTAAAATGTCAGTGCCACTTTTGATACAAAACAAAATTGCTTTCTTTTCTTAAATAGAATTGATAAGCAAGAAGTCTACTTTAGCTTTGTGATATTTTTGTATTTTTTTCATATTTAAGATTGAAAATAAAATAAGTAAATAGAGAAAGCATTAGAATCTAAGAGAATCTAGAAACATTAGTATCACTGGGGAAGCTTTTACTGATGCCCAGGCTCCAACCCTGGAAAATATGATTTAATTAGCCTGGCTTGATGTCTGGGTTGGGTTCCAGATATCAGTGTTTTTTAAAAGCCTCTGATAATTCTAACATAAAGCCAGGGTTTAGAACCACTTGTTTGGAGATAGACTTGCCTAGAAACAGGTTAACTCACCAGGAGCTTTTCAAAACCCCACGTTCAGGGTCCCAACAAAGAGCCATGAAATTAGAATCTCCGAGGGTAATTTTTGAAATATTCACTGGTGATTGTTGATGCATAACTAGAACTGAGACTGTGCTGATAAACTCAGATCCCTTATAGAGATAAAATTTTATATTGGTGACTGCTTAAGATTCAATTTCTTTTTTTTTCTTTCGATGTGTTATTTCATTACCTCTGAGATACATTATTTGAATTTCTCCCTTTCTCACAGTCTTATTTTCTCACACACAGGTTTTTTCCCCCTGTTACTGAGTTCCATGCCTCAAGTCTTTTTAGAATAAGGTTGGCTATAAACAGAGAGGGGAAAACACGTGAATATTTTGTTTCTAGAACATGATTTCTCAACCTCAGCACTAATAACATTTGGACCATTGGGGACTTCTTTGTTGTGGGGACTATCCTATGCTTTACAGGATGATTAGCAGCATCTCTGGCCTTTCTCCACTAGATGCCAGTAGTGTGTTCCTAAAATGTGACAACCCAAAATATCTCTAAACATTTCCAAATGTCCTTTGTGGGGGCAAAATCGCCCCAGGTTGAGAATCACTGATTTGAATTTCGAATCCGGGTGTTCAGCTAGAAAAACAAAAAAGCCCGTAAATCACTAAATGCATTTAACATTATTAGTTCATATATTTTGTTTGTTAATAGAAGCTTCTCCTTTAAGGCCAATAAAGCTTTTATTTTTCTTCCATGGAAAATTTTGCTTGTGCGTTGGAACTGTCAAAAAGGAAGAATAAATTACCAAACAATTCCCAAACAGTCATTTTGGTATTTGTGAACAGAAATCATAGAGATCACTGCTTTATACTGGTTGTATTTTGTGGTTGTATTTCACAACTGTGTCTATCTCTTTGTAACATTTATGTAACCAAGTCGGAGTTTTCTAGACAATGAGGATTTTTCTAAATATTAAGTGACAAGGATGATTTCAGAATTTCAGGAGAAGGAAAGAAATAAACCCATGAATGATAGGCCAAAGGGGGCCTCTTGGTGGCACTGTTTATTTTTACAAAAATGATACCTGGGCTCAACAAGATGTAGCACTTGATGCATTATGCTTTTCAGAATATGTAGTTTTAAGTTCAGTGAAATAAACCATGTTTAAGATGATGTGCAGTTTCCATGGAAAGGTGATTGTGCTGTCACTGTAACTGGCTGTGATAGCTGTATCCCCACAATTTGTTGTAGCTCAGGTTGGTGCTAAGGTAAGGTTTGTAGGCTGGCGTCAGGATGTAATTACCCAAACAAAAAGACATAGATACAGTATGTCATCCCTGCTAATGACCACAGCATTTTCTTGCCCAGTAATCTGTAACAAAAAGCCACATAAACGATCGGATTGCATTTAAGTGCAGCACTAAAGAAAAACTTGGTGGCACAAAAAATTATTCCAGCCAATTGAGTGGAAATGACAGAGAATAATACAAAGTTATCTCTGCTAGGGAGATGTGCGTTTGGAATGTCACCAATGGACAGTGCGTGGAGAAGGCCACACTTCCGTACAGGCACACTGCAATCTGTGTAAGTATGGTCACTTCCTTCAGAACATATTTGGCTCCTACAACTGCTTCAGAGCACTGCCATGAATGCGTTTGAAGAAATGTCTTTAAGGATATTCTTTTCTTGAATTTTTTATTCTGCCATTATAGTAGAATATCATCAGTTATCACCTGTTATTTGGGCATTTTCTTCTCAAAAGTTATTATTCAGCCCATTTTTTCCGGATTATTTCTGTATCTTTAAACATAGGTAAATTTGAAGGGCAATTTCCTTATTTTTCCTTAAGTATAATCATAAAACAGACACAAACACGGAGAGATTCTGTTTTAATGACATGCTATTTTATACAGCAAAAAGGGTTTTGTTTTCCTTGTTTCCAATTTTAACCTTTTTTTGGGTGGGCAGGTTCTTAATGTCTGAATTTATTAATGAAAAGAGAGGAAAGGGCATAGCCATAACCTTTATAATCACTTACCAATATTTAAAAGGATTCTGGCTTTTGGTAGATAGACTCCAAGCATATATGTAGTGCAGCTGCATGATTCCAGTGGTGTCGACAGTGTTTTTCATATTTCACTGATTGCTTTTAGCACCGATGACCTGCATTGCAACATGCACCAACTCCTTTCTGGGACCAAAACCTCACTCAGTGAGAGAGCTCATCAAGGGTAAAATATATTACTTGATCTTTAATAAAAGCCATTCTCACAACTTATTTGGCGCAAGAATTTCTTCAAGTGTTCTTCAGATGCTTTTATTTCTTCTTAACATGTAGCAGTGTTGCTAGGATAAGGAACCTGGTTTTTGTTATTGTTTAGTTCTACATAGCACTCCAGAAATAGTACACTTATGAGCTTTTCATGTGATATGAAATAAGCTTCCTTCTTCACAAAGGATTCCTCTTTCTTTAGAAAAAAATGATGAAATAGAAATGAGACTAAAGTGAAAAATCAACACTTTAGAAGTGTGGAATAACTGAAGTAAAAGAAATTTTAGTAGTTATTTATTCAAAGACCTTAATGGAATAAGTAATAAAACTAAAATCCAGAAAAGTCTTTACCACAGCCAAAATTACGTTAGTTGTGAGTGATAATTAAATTGTCGCTTGAATTCCATTTACATAGTATTACCACTGCTCATCCCGGATGACAGGAGAAGGCTGGCTTCTATGCTGTGGAGAATATCAAGACATTCTTATAATCGATGCCAAAACTTTGACTCTTGTTCACACTTTTACATCATCTCAGTCTCCTGATTGGATCAACTGCATGTGCATTGTTCACTCCATGAGAATTCAAGGTAATAGTTGGATATCATATAAGACTAACAGATTGCATATAAAAATATCGCTTTTGAACTATTTGTTAAATTATTGGGTAAGAATTTAAAATGGTTCTTTATGTTTACCTGTTAGTGGGGATAGCTCTCTAAGCCAGATCAAGAAAAATTGAGAACACCCAAGCCAGTGGTTCAGGTTGTTCAAAAGCCAGCATGAGGTTGAGATGAAATGGAAAGAGGAGAATCCGTGTTTCTACCATTCAGTTTTGTTTGGTACATTTAAAAAGTAACAAGCAGATGTTGGTTGTAGATTAGCAGGACTCTTGGAACTTTTGTTCTGCTGTATCTTCCAGATGTAGTAATGAAAAGAAAACACGATCTAAAATGTTCATGTAAAAAAACAACAAAGCTGAATATTTTCCACCTACATAGCCCTGTGTAATCCTTAAATGACCATGAAATGATCTTTATAGCAACTGCTAATAGCAGTGATCAATTTATATGTAACCTTTGTTGTTTTTACAGAAGATTCTCTCCTGGTGGTATCAGTAGCTGGTGAACTCAAAGTATGGGATCTCTCTTCATGTATCAGCAGCATTCAGGTTGGCTTATGAAACTTTTTTTTCTCCAATTTCAAACATATTTATTGAAATTTTTTAAATTGCGGGGATGTTACATGCTTATTGGTACAGGTTCAAATAATATAGAAGAGTGTACATTTTACCTCCGTGTACTTCTCCCCCATCCCTCTTCCTGCTTCCAGTGCCATGGGCACTGGTAATAGTTGGATTATGTTCTTCCATTCTTTTCTTTATGCATATACAAATGTTTTTATTTACACGCACTTGCACACATACACTGATTACATTTTTAATTAAAAATAAAAATCATAGAAAACTATCTTTCCCTTATAGTAAAAGATCCCCTTTCTTCTGGATGTGTGTGAGTGGTGGCAGGGAGATGTCTATGAATAGCTGGGGGTCACATACCGTGGGAGTCCAGTATATTCATCTGCTCCTCAGCATCAAGCTACAAGTCAAGGTGATAGACAAGAGGACATAGTATTTGTGTTGGTGATGAAATTATTTTGGCTGCCCCACGGAGCTCTGGGCTTTCCTTAGGAATGTTTGGTTGAGGAAGCCTAGGAATTGTATTGGCTTACTAAGCCCTAGAAACACACACTCAGCATTTTCAGAAACTGACTATGAGTATAGTATTCTATATATCCTATGCTGGCCACTCTTCTGTCCTTTCTTTTTTATTTATTTTTGTTTGTTTTATGCCTACTGCACCTAGTCTTCCTAGGTGGTCTCCCATCCAAGTACTAACCAGGCCTGACCAGGCTTTTCTTCTATCTTTTCAAACCACTGTGTATTTTTCTGTGATAGCAATTAAGATGCTGTAGGGTTTTAAAAAAATTATT